GTGGTGTCTTCGAAGGAGGAACTCCCAAATTACTGATGCAGTTTTTTCTCCTGAGATGTCCTCGTCTTGACATGAATTCTTCAGTCTCTGCTAAGGAGGGCAAAGTTCTCAAGCCAGCACTCCAGATAGTGAGTACAGGAAGGGCTCTGGAAATAGACACATTTGGCATCTAGAATTCAGCCACTCAATTTTCTTTTTGGTGTCCACTCAGATGTGTCTTGAATCTTTCTTCCTCCTCCCAGAGACTTACTCAACTATCCTGGAAGATGAGGCCCTAAGTATCTCAGTAATTTTTTAAGGTGCCTCTAAGCTAACCGATGTAACTAATACTTCCATTTATCAGGTAGGGTAGTCATTTCCAAAGAAATTAGTAATTATTTATGTCTCGACAAGTTAAGGTTTTGTTTGAAAAAAATATATATACATGCATTGAAAAAAACTATTATTTTGTTCTTAGATAACTACAGCTCCCTTCTGATGGTTGTGTGGCATGGTAACCCTCTCATAAAAGTCTAATTGCACATAGCCAGCCTCATTTCATAGTCCACCCAGATTTTCATGTTACTTACTTTTAATCACAGACCCACAGACGAACCAAATCTCAGTTTCACAAAGATATGATGTCATAGAGAAGGGATAGTGATCCAGTATTGAGCTATTTTGTTTTTTTAGAAATATTATTATTTATTTTATTTATTTATTTTTTTGGTACCAGAGATTGAACTTGGGTCCTTGCTCTTGCAAGGCAGTTGGCAGAACCACTGAGCTAAATCCCTGGCCCCTGAGATATTTTAAAATAGTCACTGTGTTGTATCTGTCAAATGTCAAGTATCAATGTGTTTGCATAAAAAGATTTTAAGTGCCTGATTGTCTTCCTGATCATGCAGAGAGGCACCCCAGGTAGCTTGTCACACAGTTTGGGGGCCATCAGCTTTATGCATTACTTTGGTTCTGCATATATTTGTCCAACCCATCAACTTCAGCCAGGGCTTGCATTAAGTTTTTAACTGTGTACAATCTACTGAGATCTCACTGAATATCACCATTTGCCTATAGCTGTGTACTGTAGCACATCTAACTACAATTTACTTCACCTTGTGAATCACAAAACCAAAATGTTAATGCTCCTATACAAGTTACAGGATGGGTCACATTAGTTAGCAGAGATTCACATTGAAAATATATATATTCCTCCACAAGTAAGATGCTGTTTTGTGGTTGTAATTCTGCATGCCACTAGACAATGCAATAGAAGTAATTCAATACAGTCTGTGGCTGTTTCCAGACAGCTGAGTAAGAGCCTGAGTATTAACATCTGTCAAATGAGTCTCTGTCCCCACCACCCCTAGACCAGTCTTTGAAGGAGTCATTCAGTATAAAGTTAGAATGTCAAAGAAGGCTGGGGCAGGTTATGTGACAAACGGATGCTGGTCTTAAGTAAGCTGACTAGCTATTAATTCATAAAACAGTCTGAAAAGATTTGTGATGCAAGCTGACTTCGTCTAGACAAGGAGGGAAGTGCAAAACACATTAGAGAGATACAACACAGTAGTGACATGAAAAACCTGTTTTAGTTGCACAAATGCATGGGGATGGAAACTACAATTTCCTTATCTATCTAATCCCCAATGGGGCAATATGTAGGTGGTAGAGACTTTGGATTTTATTTTTAGATCTTTAAAACATCTTACTGGTGAAAAAGGAAGGAGAGTGAAAGGAAGAGAAAAAAGAGAAACAGGAAACAGTGATCATGTCAGAGGAAGGGAAGAGAGAGTAATAAAATCTGAATGCTAAATGTTTTCCTGAATTTCAAAGACTATTTATGTTTTACCATTTGGAAAACATCACCAACCCAGGCCTATAAAATTTATCTCTTGCCTCAGATGTATTGTAGTCATATCAGTTTTTCTCCTTTCCACTTAACAGTGGCTAAAAATCAGCTGTCAAGTGAAGCCAGTTCCTACACTCATTCTATCCGGTTGAATGCATCAGTGGTCTCTTAGATATAATAATCAATCAGGTCATTTAAACAAAGTAAAAAAGTCTAATATATAT